GAGAAAGACAAGAGAGAAAGTGAAACTTAGTAAATACATAATAAACACATATTAAGATGGTGAAGGAAAAGGCAATGTCCAATAAAGGGATGATCAGCACAGTATCTCTAAACAAAGGAGAGACAAAGAGAGCTATTGAAGAATAAATGGAAACCAGAAATACAGGGAGGAAGTTGGAAGTAGGACTACATGTTCTTACTGAAATCAGTGCTATTGAACAATATATGTGTGGTTGAATGAAAAATTAATTTACTTTATAAGCATTTGTTGAAATCACAGTTTTTAAAAGAAAACGCTTTATGGTTAGAAAGTTTAAAAGATATTTGCATTGTGTAGTGAATCAAAGAAGAAATTATATTCAAAATCTAAGCACATTTTGACCAGAATAATAAAAATATAGGTTATTTGTAGAATGTAAAAACAAACAAACCAACTCTTAAAATTCTGCTATAAAAATAAAGATGGAACAACTCAATTGAAAAATGGACAAAAGACTTGAATTGCTATTTCTCCAAAGAAGAAAGATTAATGATCAATATGTGCATGAAAAGTTTCTCAACATAATTTCTGTATACCATCATTTTCGAACCAATTCTTAGTTAACCCTCCAGTGGGTTTTCAGAGACTGTTAATTGCACAGGAGGAGATTGCCTCTCTTTCTCCCACAGAGCAGCTGGTGGATTCAAACTGCCTGCACTGTTGATAGTGTAAATCCTACCAAGTAGGTCAATGGAGCTCCCTCATCATCACTGTTGTTTTTGTTTTGCGGTGCTGCGTAATCAACTACAACTCGTAGTGGCTATAGGAACAGCAGATAGAAACATTGCCCTATCCTGTACCATCTTCACAATACCTCTCATACTCAAGTCCATTGTGGTAGTCACCATACCAGTATATATCATTGAGTATCTTCTCTTTCACTGACCCTCTACCTTTCCCAGCATGATGTCTCTTCTAAGACTTGATCCTCTCCTAAAAATAGGTCCAATGTAAGTGAGATGAATTTTTACCCTCCTTGCCTTTGATTGCTCTTCCTTCAATACAGACTTTTTTTGATTTGAACAAACAAATCAATATCATTACCAGGGTTCTTGTTGTTTTTTTTTTCTTTAAAACCCCCCCAACCACACCAGATCACTGTTATTTAGTAGATTACAACTCACAGAGACTCTCTATTGGGTGTCCAAGACTATAAACCTTAATAGGAAGAGACTGCCTCATTCTTCTCCTGAGGAGCAGCTGGTAGGCTTGAATTTCTGACTCTTCATTTAGTAGCCTTTCACTTAGCCCACTACACTACCAGAGATTTTTTCCATTAGTCATTGCTGTTTCTTTGTGTCATCAAGTCAGAACTGATCCATAGCTGACCCTCTAGCCAGTGTTCAGAAGCATTTAGTTGCACAGGAGAAGATTTTCTGATGCGTAGCAGCTAGTGGATTTGAACCATATGCCTTTGGGATTGCAGCACAGCAGTGTCTTATCACTAGGCCACCAGAGCTCCCAGTAGTCATTGTTGTTGTTGTTGTTGTTATGTGCCGTCGAGTCGTTTTCGACTCATAGCAACCCAGTAGTCATTAGAGAGATACAAACTATAATCAGATACCACTTCACTCTCGTTGTTGTTGTTGTTGTTATGTGCCATCGAGTCATTTGCGACTCATAGCGACCCTCTGTACAACAGCCCTAAACCCTGCTCTATCCTGTGCCAGTCGCAGTGCCTCTGACACACCCATCCTGATTACCCCAGTCACTGAATCAATCCACCTCATAGAGGGTCTTCCCCTCCTGCGCTGTCCCTCCACCTTTCCAAGCATTATGTCCCTCTCCAAGGACCTGTCACTCTCATTAGAATAAGTTTTATTAAGAGAATGAAATCCAACAAGTGTTGGTGATTATTTAGAGAAACTGGAATCTTCATTCATTTGGGTGTGATTGTAAAATGATAACAGACTTTGTGGAAAATACTTAGGTGGTTCCCCAGAATGACTAAGGCAGGGTTACTATTGGCTGAGCATTTCCACTCCTGAATCTATTCCCCAGAACTTGAAAACAGAGACAGACTTTATACAATAGTGTTCATTGTAGTAGTATTATTAATTAGTAACTAAAAAGTAGAAAGAGCCAAAGTGTTCATTAAGAGATAAATGGACAAACAAAAATGCATATCCATACAATATTTTTTTTAATTTAGTTTGTTTATTTTTCATTTCAATGAACATCTACAGAGATTTTGGAATTCCATTCATTCATTGTTGCACCCTTCTCC